CGGATCCCAAGTAATTTGTCTCCCTGCAACCTGCCCTGTCCTCCTTCCTCACCTCTTTCTAAACCATATTCCTGCTCCTTCATTTCTATATCGCCCATTTAACATCCTCTCTGTGTTGCACCCTTCCCATTTCCTCTATCTCGTTATATCTTTTATTTATTTTTTTTCCAACCCTGACACTCCATCTAATTAATCCTACATTTCCTATTTTGTTTGCTTTGCCTTTTCTGCCCATTGTGTAAAGTCTCTTTTACTGTCCAAAGCCACAGCTCACATACACAAATCACCTCTGCAAAAGCACTTTCTCTTTTTTCTCTCTGGCATTTTGACATTATTATATGCAAAGACAAACACATACACACACACAAAGACTTCACCACATATCATAATAATGTCCCACCTAATTGACCTTCTCTAGATGGAGTACTGAGCCTGTGGAAGGGTGTGGCCGACTCTGGGCTGATGGGGGAGGTCCTGTCCAGTCTCCAGACTGAATTATTAGCCACTCTTAAAGGAGTGGAGGTTCGCAGTGAGAAGGCCAGCCTGCAGGAGACAGGTGAGGGCTAACCACTGGACTCTGAAAACAATTGCTTTAAATTTAGTAAAATGTCAGTCAAGTAAAAAAAAAAAAAGTAAATCTGATTTTATAATGATTTTCAATAAAGGCTCCAGCAGCCAAATCTGGTTTGAGAGGGAAATTCATGGACATTGATTTTTATTTTTTTTTTAAGTGGTGTGGAAGTTCTGTGGACAATCGTATTTATCGTTGTAGCTGACTTTTGATGATTTTGTTTTGTCAGATGCCGTCATACTTAATTCCCTGTGTAAGATGTTTGGCCTTTTAGACTCAGTGAAGCGAGCTGTGGACCTGAAGCGCAGCCAGGATGAGGAGAACAAAATCCACAACAATGTTTATGGTGAGAAAGCTGTCGAAGCGTATGGTACATAGAGTGGTATACCAGTGGATTACATTGACAAATATCCTGTTTTTCCTTAGTGTCGGATGAGATTTTGGAGGAGCGGAGGAGGCAGGGTCGTGATGAAAGCACCTCCCACACAACTCTGTCTTTGAAACACCTACGACCGCAACATCACAACCTGTCAAACAGCCAAACCCACAACTTGCTGTCCCCTGTCAAAGCAAGCCCCATGATCCAGCCTCTCTCTGTTACCGGGTTATCTGCTGCATCTTACGCTCAGCTCACCATCAACCCTCAGCTCTTCGCCCATTTCTCTGCCTCCACTGTCCAGCGTCACCCTATCAGAGCTGGCAGGAGGGACGGGGACCACCATGATGCCACGCTGGAGAGGGAGCGTGAGCTCAGTGAGACGGGGAACCGGGAGAAGCTTCGCAGGCTGGTACAGGAGGGCGTGGAGGGAGAGGACACCTTAGACATCCACAAATGACAGAGGACTGTTAAGTATCAAGAAGACCCTCACCTTAGAAGTGAGCAAGTAGAGGAGACAGAGGGCTTGTATGTTATTGACAAGGTGGTTATAGGAAGAAAGGCGTCAAAGAAGCATAAAAGTAAGTGAGGGAGAGAAACAATCTCAAAGGGATGCTGGACGAAGGAAGGGACTGTGCCTGAAGACGCTACTTTGTCAAACTGTACTTTTCTCGCCTTGTATGCCCATACAGTAAATACTGCGGTAACTGAAGCGGTGTTACAGGCGCAGATCTGTTCTTGCATTGAGGCTGCAAATGACACATTCAAGAAGAGCGTTTCAGTCATGTGTTTCTAACATTTTACTCAAAACACAGTTGAGCTGAAATGATGAGTCAATTCATTGATTATTCAACCAACGGGAAATTCATTCTCAAAAATTTTGATAAGCGATTCGTTATCTAAGAAATAATCCCAAAAGTTCACTTGGACCAGCTTCTGTAATGTGAATATGTTCTGGTTTCCTCGTCTTACCTTTGGGCTTTGGACTGTTGGTCAAACAGAATTTGCAGTATTTTGTAACATGAAGCTGTTGCTTTGGGATCTGGGAAATTGCAATGGGCATTGTTTTCACTATTTTCTGATATTTTATTGAATAGAAGTGATTCATCTGCAATGAACAACCAACAGTTTCATTGATAATGAAAATAATGGGTATTTGCGGTCCTAAAACACAACTTCTTTTGTCTACTGATTATAGTTTTAGGAACTTCGTGTTAGTATTTCTAAACTTAGTTAAGATAAAAATAAATTTTTAAGACGCCTCTCTGATCTCTGTAAATATAATATTTGGTTCTATTCTATTCTATTTATGATATTTGGTGATAATATGTTCCTCGTCTAAAAGCTATTTGCCACTTTTTTACGTCTTTGTGAAAATGTTCTCCTCATCCTCTTACAACTAATTTCCGATGCTATTTGCAATTTAACTTTTGTAAGTTACACTTGTGTGTTGAATTTGATAGAATTTGGATTTTGTGAAATATTTTTCACTTGTTATAATGCTTAAGTGCTGTCTATAAGATACCTACTCACTGTCGGAAGAATAAACTCTCGACAGTGAAGACTATATATAAGGTAATTGTGACTGTTGGCGTGCTGTTGCTTTTTGCAGGATTTTACTAACGTGCTGCAAAGATATCATATTATTTTACTTTCCCCTTTCTCTTTATTAAAGAGAAAACATAGGACAGGAGAAAAATACATAATGCACATGAGAGTAAGATGAAAAGTGTGACAAAAATGGTCCAAAAATGACCCTGTAACATGATGATCATATTTAAAATAAAACCCTTTATGTTTGATATTTGAACAGAAGCAGCTTGTTGATATGAATTGTAAAACGCTGGTGTTGACTGACTTTGTGACAGTACAGACAGGAAGAGTGCTCACTGCAGGGAGCCAATATATTAGACATGTAGACAGATCCGTTTTATTTATTCTTCCACTGAGTCACATATCACATCACACTTCTCCCATTTCTCACAGGTTCAGCTATCCCCTGATGTAAATCCCTTTTTGCATTGGTTCCATTCATAAAAACAAAGTGCATTCCAACAGCTGTCCTGTGATCCGCTGTTCATTTACCTCCGAAGCGCCATGCCGCATGCAAATAGCCGTGTGATAGACAGTGATGGTTTGATAGCCAGCCTTTGACAACGTCCCTCAGAACGAATAATGTGTTATTATGAATTCTGCCGGTGCAAATGCAGTTGTTTGTGATGGGTCATGAGTGGCAGCTGTTGAAATACTCCATAAAACAACTCATCGTAGTGCAGCTGTCAGCATCAGGCTTGACGCCTGTCCTGTTGTTGGATTCAAACAGTGTTTTGCAACATCCTGGTGGTTTTACTGCAAATTAGATAATCATGCATTTGAACGGATTCATGCCAAAATACTCTCCAGTCAAAAAAAATTGCTACTCTGTGCCTTGAATACCAGCGCACAAAATGACTGCCATGCTTCAAGCAGGTGCAATTACAGGTGTTAGCTGGTGCTCCTTTGGTTAAATGAAGTAATTTACTGAGCAATCCATCGTTCATCTGTCATTCGGGGCTAACAACATTAGAGATGTGCTCTCATGTTGGAAGCGTTTTAGATGCGTCTGTTGGCCCCCTGTAATTCAATCCACAGCTTTAATGTTCGCACAAGACTACAAAATAGAATGATGAATACCCGGCATAATGGTATCTCGATCCAATTGGGATTCTTGGATCGACCGCTAAACGTGTCAGCCCGGCCATGTTTTGACACCAGCTCGGCTCGTGCAGAGCAACGACTGCAGCATCAGCACTTGCAACAATTTCAAAGGTGAATCTCAGAGGATGTGTAATGCTGTAATGATATGCCGCAGGGCAACTTGCAGCATCGGACTAGTGTCCGACCAGCTCATAATCTAATACACGACTAATGCTTTCTGAACGTGTTATATAGGACTACGACATGCCAGAGAAATATTTTATACACGTCAAAGTCATAGCGGCTTGCTATATTTACACAACACTGAACATCAAAGCAAAGAGTGATTTCTGTTAGGATTCTCCAACACACATGGCCAGCTGTGGGAGGAAAAATGAAACCTCATCAAATGCAAATTCAATGCACACAACATGACAGACTAATGTATGGAGACATATGCTTTGCACCTGTCATTAGGAGGTGTGAAGGCAATACTTACCCGCCTGTCCTGTTGTAATATAACCCATGGCTAACCTCAGCTGTGAAAATGCAAATACAACTTTGTGTTATGCATAGCTGGATTAATTAGAGTTCATATTGCTGATGTGTTTAAACGTGAGAATGAACTTCATCATTGTTAACACAGAAGTGGAAAAACTCCATGTGTTGCTTTAAATAATGAGTTTTCTGTATCTGTTGCTGTCAGACTGATAATCCTGAACCTGTGCTGCTGGGTGCATGCTGACAGGTTTTAGGAGTCGCTCGGCTATATTAAGAAATGTCTAAAATTAAGCCAAAATGGATGAAAAGGCAGAGAAAGAGATCAGCACCTTGTCGCTGTCTCCACAGATACACTCCAACGCACGCAGACACTTTTTTTCCCTTCTGTCTTTTAGAGTGACATTGCATTGACTTACATTTATTCCTTGGAGTCTTACCTCAACCACAGCCACCACATACCTTGTGTCGAGATGGAGTTCTTGTCTGGACTCACTAATTTAAACACCTCATCCAATCCCAACCCCAAACATCCAATTTAAAACCTCGAACAACCATTTGAAGAAGTAAAGACAGGCAAAAATGTCTCCATTCAACTGCTCATGGTCCCCACAAAGACGCAAGTGTATACCAGCACACACGAGCACACACACACACACACACACACACACACACACACACACACACACAC